AGCGATACTCCTGCTTCAGCCTCCCAAGTAGCTCTACAGGCATTTGCCACCATGCCTGGCTAATTTTTCTATATATATCAGTTGGCCAATTAATTTCTTTCAATTTTATAGTAGAGACGGGGTCTCACTCTTGCTCAGGCTGGTTTCAAACTCCTGACCTGGAGCAATCCACCCGCCTTGGCCTCCCAGAGTGCTAGGATTACAGGCGTGAGCCACCGCGCCCGGCCAGTAGTGTGTTAACATGCTCTAGGTGGGTGCTATTTTGAATGGAAAGTTTAAAGAATATTTGCATCTTTGAGAAATAGAAAGCCCCACTCAAAATGGCTTAATCAATAAGGAAATGTTTTGGCATGGGTTACTGGGTAACTAAAGGTGCGTGGGCTTCAGACTTGACTCAGGGTAGTATCTCTTTGAATTCCTTGCTCTTCCCTTTTCTGTGTATTGGCTTCATCCCCAGGCAGAGATCAAGATGACTATGGTGTTCTGGTTCTTACAGCCACCCACAACTTTGTCCTCCACAAAGAGAGATCTGCTTCTAGATGCTTACTCAGAATGCTAAAGCCTCCTTTCTCTCTCCATAGCCTAAAATTGGTCATATGTCCTGGACAGATTACAAACACAGCTATACATTCTTCCCACCTCTGCATGCATTCATGCAACATGACTTGCAGGGCTTCCCATTAAGTGGTAGAGTCTGTTTCTCTACTCCCTGAACATGTGAGTTGTTTTGGCCAGTGAAATTTTAGGAAACTTGATGCAAGTGGAAGGCTTAAAGAATGTTTGCACATTGGAACTTGCCTTCCTCTGCTGCTCTTTGGAACTATAAGGCTCCATGTTGAGAAGCCCGTGATAGATTGCTAGAGTATGAGAGACCATGCGGAGTACAAACAAACCATCCTAGCCAAGCCACTGCCTTCCCTCCCCCAAACAGCCTGCCAATGACAGGACATGTGAGTTAGGCCATGCCATCCAAAACCCACCCTGAGCCAGCTCAGATAGGAAAACCACTTAGATGACTCATAGAATTATGAGTAATAACAAATGTTTGTCATTTGAAGCCACTAAGTTTGGAGTGGTTTGTTAAGAAATAAAAGCTAACTGATATATGCACATTCCTGAGACAGTCATAGGCAAGGGGAATTATATCACTCTTAAGCAAATCAAGAGATCCCTTTGGAATTGAGATTAGGGTCTGTTTCCATGATATCCATGGCTGTGTGGAAGAGGGATGGATACCTAAACAAGTTTTAACAGATGTAAAAGGTATGAAAATGCATTGCTGAGTTTAGCAACTAAAAATGTCTACTAAGTACTCTATACCAAGCTTTGTGTTGTTTCGCCATATAAGAAGGAAACCAAGTTATCATTAGAAGTACCACCCATAAGAAGCAGCATATATCTATCTCTGTGCAGTGAGTGTGTGATGTAGCATGATTTGGGAGAGCAATTGAGTTAATCAAAACTTGAATTTCACTATAGTGGGATGGGGGTGGGGGCTGGAAAGCTTTTCTGTTTGCCAGAGAGTAAATACTGTAGGTTTTGTGAGCCATGTGATCTCCATCACAACTACTGAACTCTGCAGTTATAGTGTGGAAGTAGCCACAGACAGAAGGTAAATGAATGGACACTGTGTCCTGCTTTCTTACATAACTCTCTTGGGGAATAAAGTTAGGTGTATTTCTGGCTCATGTAGAGTAGCGACAAGTGTCTTTGTGGATTATGTCGTTCTCACAACTTTCATGGGATGAATGCTGAGTTATCAAGAATGATATTTCACCCATAGAAGTAATATTCTTCTCTGAGCATTGTGTTCAGTGCTTGATTGCCCAAAAAATTAGATCAAACATGTTTTTAGGGTATAAGCAAAACATGAGCCCAAAGAAAAAGAAAAATATTAAAAATATTTTAATATTTTATTTATTTATTTTGTTTAAAAATGTAGAATTCAAGATTTTAATATTTAAAAAAATTCATTGAAGCAGTTAGGAGAAAATGCAAAATTTGATTGAATTCCTTAAATTCATGGTTATAATTTTTAAAATTATGTCTTGTGGTTGGGGTGGCTCAATATAGCTTTTAATCCTTAGAACCTCAAAAAATCTTAATCTAGCCCTGACTGTGTATACTATGTTAACTTCTTGGAGAAGAGAGCTGAGTTCCCAGCAGGGTTGATCATTTAGATGAATAATGTGTATTTCTAAACAGTGTTTTCTTGATTGTTATTAGTATTCTTCAAAAAACCAACCAATCAACCAACCAACCAACTAGTCAACCAACCAACCAACTAACCAACCAACCAACCAACCAACCAACCAACCAACCAACCAACCAACCAACCAGTGTTTTCTTCATGTAACCTGCTTTGGTGAAAAACTGTTTCCAATAGTTATACCTCAAAGAAAAGGGAAATTCACCTCAGTGGACTTTGTATTTCCTATAATCTGACTGGATTGAGAAGATGAATTACTAGCAGTAGATTGTACTTTTTCATATGTTCTTCTTGGAGAGGTGAGTCAGCTTGGAAAACATTTGTCTGCATGTAACAAAACCAGCTAAGGTGGATGGATGCTCCAAAGGTTATTTTTTTTTATCATTTAGCAAGGTGTCCAGGGGAGGCAGTCCAGGGCTGGTATAGTAGTCCCAGAACCAGGCTCTTCTTTGCTCTACTCATGCCATCCTTATTATGTAGTCAGCATCTTTTTGTTTGACACCTCATGTTACAAGATTGCTGCTACATCACCAGCCTCATCACTGTGGTCTAGAAAGAGAGAAGGAGGAAATGCAAAGGACTAAAAGGATTTTCCAACTAAGCCTGTTCTTTTAATTTAAGAAAACAGCAGCATTCCTGGCAGCCTCAGCTATAAACTGTAAGCCAGACTTGTACCATATGGCCATCCTTAGCCACAAATGAACTTAAGAAGTCTGGGCATAGTGTAACCAAATTTGGTTGGGTTAGTAAGAAGGATGAGGAGAATTTTTTGGGCAACTTGCAGTGTTTGCCACGATATTCTTGCTAAACTGGTAGACACTGGATCTAAAATTTATGTGTGTAGTTCTGGCCCCCTTAGAGATGGTGTAAAGAAAAAGGAGAAAATCTAGACAAGGGCAACTGAAATGTTGGAAAGGGAGGGAGGGATGATCTGTCGCTGCAGCCTACATAAGGCATGGTGTGTGGCAACCAAAGTTCTAGCTTTCTGACCTGATTCTTTACCTTATTGTACAAGCTGTGAGACATTGGTTGAGTCAAATTCTATAAGCCTGTTTGCCTTGTCTATAAATGGAGACAGAGTGTTAGAAAGAAAGGGAGAAACAGATTTGGGGCAAGCCAGTGTGAATGTACTAGGAGTTGCATCTTGTATAGAACAACAAAAGACCTCCCCCTGGCATTTTCTTCATATAATTTCTTTTTTGGGGGGATGGGTAAATATGATTTATCAGTTTTTATTTCCTGCAGGAAAGCAACATTCATCTCTGGACTGTGTACTTTAGGTAATCTGGGGGAAGAAAGATGATTTTCCAACAGTCTTAGCTCTCATATATAAGCAATAAACATCTATGTGGAGTAACTACTTGATGTAACTTCTTAGAATACAAACTATTACCAGCTGTCATATCTCCTATAACTCTAGGTATGTTGAATTTGAATCTGTCTCTCTCATGTTTTTGAGATCCTCAAAATTTGTATAATTTTTAGTGATTTATTTGTATTTAGAGATGAGACTCTAGTTGGATCAGTATCAACAATGAAAGTGAAGTTCCTCAGCTTAAGACATAATTCTGATTTTGGTGACTTAGTCATTCACCAAATGTCTATTGAGTGCCTACCATATACGTCAGCCAGTGCTCTTGGTGCTGGGGATACAGTATGAACAAGGCAGAGAAAGCCCCTGCCTTCATACAGCTTACATTATACTGAGAGAGCAAGCAGTTGCATAGAGTGAGCCAAGGAGATGAGAATATGCCAGCTAGGTGGTACTTCCTTTCGGATATGCAGAGAGCTTGTTTTCTGGATTTAATCTGTGGCATCTGCATTTTCCAATTTATCAAAAATTCAAATGATCTCAACTCTACTTTTGTGTCAGATTAATGAATCCAGCAAGTATTTATTGAATACCTTCCCTGCCAGACACTGTGCTAAACACTAGTATATAATGGTAAATAATAGCTCCATATAACTGGATAGAATCATATAGAGATGAATTTGGTCCTTCACAGTTGCCCTTGGGTGGGATGTTACTTGTGTATATCTTTGAAAGTGGACATGTGTGGGTATTTAGGGGGCCACTGAATCGGAGGTCAGTTGGAGCTGGAATTGCTCTTATAGAGTGATAATGGAGCGTAAAGAGCAGTGGTCGGACCTTGGCCAGCAGTAAAGGTGGTCAAGCGAGAGTTGGCACTGAGTTTTAAAGAACCAGTATAAATTGGATGGCTGAGGTCTGCGGGAGTAGGTAGAGGGGAGGGAGAATATTCTAGAGGGAAAATCCTGGAAAAAATATTAAGGGTCAGGAATAAGTAACAGATTTTGGGAGGCCATTGGGAATTCAGTAATGTTAGAGCAGAATATATATCACAGCACAATAAGAGATACTTATGTAGAGGTCAGTTTGTGTGGGCCTAGATTGGGACTTTGTCCTTTGTTCTAACATGAAAAAGGATGGTTCGAAGTTCCTAATGAGGACTACTTTAAGTACATGGAATATGCTAGTTTCTTCCTGAGATGGCCCATTCCGACGCCTATCCCTTTCCATCCCTGACGTTCCTCTCTACAGTTCTCCTGAGGAAAGTGTTCCGGATACAGGTAGCATCACAAGATATGAGGAACACAGCTGGGCTAGGAGAGAAAAAAGCTGGGCTTAGAGTCTGGGCTAGGAGGAATCGCCTTCCTTTGCGGCCCCATAGAGATGCTCCTCCCGCTTCCTAGAGAGTCAGCGGATGCCTGTGGGAGCCCGCCGCTGACGCACTACCGGCCGCGCCACCGTTGTTCCGGCTCCATAGGTTAAGGCTTGTGTCTTGGGCTTTCATGTACCTTTCGGACTGTAGGCGCCGCCAGCGGGGAGCACCCCAGATCTCACGGTGAGCGGCTGGGCCCCAGGGAGGGGAAAGGAGAGGTTCTCCGCGCGCCTCAGCTGAGGCGGCGGGCCGGGGCCTTATTCTGGAAGTGAGCCCTGGCCTTGATTCACCCCAAATCGCTGCCCGCTCGAGCCGCCGGCCATCAGGGGCACTACTGTCGGTCCAGCAAGGCCCCGCTTGCAGCTTGAGCACTGCAGATCCCAGAGCCCAGCACAGTGCCATTCTTCACAAAAGAGACGCCATTCTTCAGTGGCGGAGTGAATGAATTAATGAGTGAGTAATGGATGGTCCAAAGCTAAGACCCGTGTCCAGAAACGCAATCTTGGGGCTCTGAATTCTCAGTCCTGATACCAGCTACTTTCTCCACCGGCTACTGTAGCTCAGAAATTTGTTTGGGAACTGTCTTAATAGGAGACAGCAAATAGTGTAAAGTACACTAGTTGGGGAATCTTGAGATTGGAGTTATAATTCTGGAGGATTACAGAGACTATTTCTTGATCTCTAAAATTGTACTAATAATCTGCGCCTTGCTTTCTTCAGAAGGCTCAATTGACAGCATGTATGTGATAGCTTGTTTGCAAACCTTAGTATCTCCCAACAAAATGTTAGTCTCTGTTACATACCAAACATCACACGGAGTTCAGGGGTGAGGCTACAGAACGAGTGACGTTGGAGCCTGCCACATGGGAAGATGATTCCAGTATAGTGCTCGGAGATAATGTAAGCAGATTTTAGTGATGATATTTTAAGCTACATTTACTTAGCACTTACTGTATATCAGGCACTATTTGAAATATTTGTGCTAATTTATTTAGTCTTCACAACAGCAGCCCCAGCACTGCAGAGCGCAGAGCCCAGCACAGTGCCATTATCTTTAGTTTAGAAGTGAGGAAATTGAGGAATAGAGAGAATAGATAACTTGTCCAAGGGCACATTACTACTAAGTGACCCAGGCTACAGAAGAGATAGATACTTGTAAGGTTTTTTGGAAGCGTCGGAAAGAAAAGACAGAGAGAAAGAATGGGGGGCAAAGCACGTGGCTTTACTGTATACTCCTGGATGAGGTTCTGGTGCCCCAAGAGAGGGGGGCCCCAGAAGTCGCCCCTTTTGAAGGGGCTGAGGCCTTTTACACCCTTTGGGTGGGTCTCGGGACTTGTGGTGGGAAGAGCTAGGGATTCTCTATTGTGACCTTGGGTGGTAGTTGAGAAATAGGGGCTGGAGGTATTTGTGGCATCCAAGAGCGGAAAGGTTCTTATCCGGGTGGACTTCTGAGTGTGGTTCCTCTCTCTGGGGCCTGGCAGTTTTGTCCTTGGCGGGTCTGGTCTCCTGAGCCTTTTGTTTTTTTTTTGATCTAGGGAAGGGAGGGGGCCCGCCACCAGCCTTAAAATACTGTGTTCTACTGCAGCCTGGGTGAGTGTGTTATTTGGTGCCAAAAGGCAAGCCAAGGAGGGCTTCAGAGAGGAGTACATTTCAATGTAATCTTATTGAAAGAAGAGTGGTTTCAGGTTCTCAAACAAGCCCAGCTAGCTTGCCCAGACTTCTTTAGCTAATTGAGGGTTAAGGAGGTGGCAGCAGGGAGAAAGCTATGAAGGTCTGAGGAGAAAGCCAGCTCTTAGTTAGGTTAGCAAGATAAGGCTACTAAGAACCTTTTTCCTTTTAACCTTCATTATAATACCCATCTCCCCATGAATCTGCAGAAGGATTCCTTTAACATCTTAAAATAATGAACAATCAGATTATTATACAATAGGCATTTGTACAAGCACCTACATTCTTTTCTGGACAACATATAGACCTGAGGGTCAGCAAACTATGGGCCAAATTTGGTCTACCACTTTTTTTTTTTTTTTCCAAAACTGTTAGTGAAACATAGCCAAGCTCATTTGTTTACATGTCATCTATTTCTGTTTTCACACTACAAAGCAAAGTTGAATAGTTGAAACAGAGAGACAGAGACAATATAGCCCATTTAGCCCAGGAGAACTAAAATAATTAATTTCTGGCCCATTACAGAAAAAGTTTGCTGAGAGCTCAGATGATCCATGATTGGAGGAAAGTGGGCATCACCAAGATCCCTTTCCTTTTGCATAGGTTGTAGCATCAAACATAATAGTATCTAACCCTTACTGAGTGCCTACCATGTGGCAGATGTCTTTATCATTGCTCTGCATGAATTAACTTGTCAAGGATTCACAGAATATTATAACGGGAAGGACTCAAAGATATTTTCTAATTTGTCACCCTTTTCAGATAAACAGCCTGTTGTGTAGGCCCATTCACATGGTCTATGGAAGAGCAAAGTTTCCTGACTCCCAGTCCAATTTACTTTCATCATATTCTGAATGGGAGGCCAGTACCATATCCATTGGATCTGCATTTTGTTTTGTTTCTGGTTTTTTAAAAAATAACTTTTTCTGACTATAAAAGTAATATATGTTTATTGAAGGAAAAGTGAAATACATACAGTATAAAGGACAAAGTAAAGTGACCTATTAACTGACCTAGAGATAAGTGTGTTAGTATTTTGGTGGTTCGTTCGTTCGTTCGTTCTTTCTTTCCTTCTTTCCTTTCCTTTTCTTTTCTTTTCTTTCTTTTTTTCTTTTCTTTTCTTTTCTCTTTTTCTTTTCTTTCTTTTCTTTTCTTTCTTTCTTTCTTTTCTTTCTTTCTTCTTCTTCTTTCTTTTCTCTTCTTCTTCTTTTCCTTCCTTCCTCCTTCCTTCCTTCCTTTCCTTCCTTCCTTCCTTCCTTCTCCCCTCCCTCCCTCCTCCTCCTCCTCCTCCCCTCCCTCCCTTTTTTTTTTTTTTTTTTTGACAGATCTCACTTTGTGCCGGGGCTAGAGTGCTGTGGTATCAGCCTACCTCACAGCAATCTCAAACTCCTGGGCTCAAGCAATCCTCCTGCTCAGCCTCCGAGTAGCTGGGACTACAGGCATGTGCCACCATGCCAGCTAATTTTTTCTGTATATTTTTGTTGGCCAATTAATTTCTTTCTTTTTTAGTAGAGACGGTCGTTCTTTCTTATTTATGTCCTCTTTAATGTGTATGTTTTTTTCTATCTATTAATTATAGTTTCATGTTATGAGTGCATAATTAATCTAATATGTGTGTGCATTTTTTGGTGTTTTGAATCTCCTGTTTTACATACTGTTTTTCATGAATATTCTTTGAAATATGATTTATTTTATGCATTAATCTATCATGTGATATTTCATTAATATTTATTCACCTGTTTTCTTTACAATTGTGTAGTAATGTGTCTTTTTAAATAATCTCTGTGTCATCTCTGATTATATTTTTCACTTTTTTCTCTATTATAGAAGTTACTTATTCCTATGGAAAACTTTCTTTTTTATTTTTTTTTAGAGACCGCATCTCACTTGTTGCCCAAGCTGGAGTGCAGTGGTTTAATCATAGCCTCACTGCAGCCTCAAACTCCTGGGCTCAAGTGATTCTCTTGTTTCAGCCTCCAAGTAGCTGGGACTACAGGTAGTTGTCACCGTAGTTTTTGATTTTGTTCTTCGCTATGTTGCTCAGCTGGTCTCAAACTTCCTAGCCTCAAGCAATCCTCCCACCTCAGCCTCCCATGAGTGCTGGGATGACAGGCATGAGCCACCATGCCGATCCAAAAATAGGTGCTATGCAGAAGTTTACCCATGGTTAGATTTCTCAGGAAGATTCACAATTAAATTTGATATGTATTCTTACAGATTTAAGTTTGTTTTTTAAAAAGTAGGCAAAATATTAGGTAATAGAAGAAGTTGGGGAAAATTATTCATAATTCATTATATCTTCAAATGATGATTAGTTTTCTCTTGATCTTGCTCACATACATATTTTATGTGTTATTTATTGAGATAGAGTCTCACTCTGTTGCTTGGCTAGAGTGCTGTGGCATCAGCTAGCTCACAGCAACTTCAAACTCTGGGCTCAAGCGATACTCCTGCTTCAGCCTCCCAAGTAGCTAGGACTATAGGCATGCACCACTATCCCCAGCTAATTTTTTAAATATATATTATTTTATTTATTTTTTATTTCTCAGCTAATTTCTTTCTTATTTTAGTAGAGATGGGGTCTTCCTATTGCTCAGGCTGGTCTCGAACTCCTGAGCTCAAACGATCCACCTGCGTTGGCCTCCCAGAGTACTAGGATTACAGGTGTGAGCCACCACACCCAGCCATAATTTTTCTTTCTTTTTTTTTTTTGAGACAGAGTTTCACTTTGTTGCCCAGGCTAGAGTGAGTGCCGTGGTGTCTGCCTAGCTCGTAGCAACCTCAAACTCCTGGGCTCCAGCAATCCTCCTGCCTCAGCCTCCCGAGTAGCTGGGACTACAGGTATGCACCACCATGCCCAGCTTATTTTTTCTATACTCATTAGTTGGCCAGTTAATTTCTTTCTGTTTATAGTAGAGACAGGGTCTTGCTCTTGCTCAGGCTGGTTTCCAACTCCTGACCTTGAGCAATCTGACGCCTCAGCCTCCCAGAGTGCTATGATTACAGGTGTGAACCACCAAGCCCGGCCCTAATTTTTCTATTTTTTTTTAAAGACAGTGTCTAACTATTACCCAGGCTGATCTTAAACTCCTGGCCTCAAGCAATCCTGCTCTGGCCTCCCAAAGTGCTGGTAGCCATACCAATTTTGTGGCTTCACTTTTTATATTTAACCTTTAATCAGTTTAGGTTTATTTTTGTGTGTGGTGTGATGTAGGAATCTCACTAAGTGTTTTTTCCAGGTAGTTAGCAATAGTCCTAAGATAATTTACAAATATTTTATTTTTTTATGATTAGAAATATTATTTTTGTCATATATTTAATTATTTTTATATCTCTTAGAGCATTAGAGATTTTTATTTAAAGAATTATTTAAAAAATACAGATATGCTCTCACTGTGTTGCCCATGCTGGTTTCAATCTCATGGCCTCAAGCGATCCTCCTGCCTCAGCCTCCCGAGTAGCTAATATTACAGGCACAAGCCACCACACCTGATTTAGGAATCTTTTAAATGTATAGGCCTACTGTTGAGTGTTTTTAGCCACATTACCATGATTTCAAGTGCTCTTTATGTCAAAAACTCTAAAAATGTTTTCAGCTCACACCTCTCTTCTCTATTCCAGATATGTATGTTGTACTGTTTGGATATTTTGAGACTGAATGTATCTTCTTCCTCCCCAGATCAGTGTTCTTATTCTCACTGAGATCATTGTGGTGTCTGCCTGTCATTCAAGCCATAAGCTGGCCAATTATACTTGACTTCTCTCTCTCTCATCCCTCCCCCCATATTCATCCAGTCCTGTTAATTCTGTCTCTTAGTCCAGCCCCCTTACTGGCTATTGAAACAGTCTCACAAGGGATCTTCTAGCTGTCACCTTGACCCCCCAGTCTGTACCCCTACACACTTTCTCTGCACTGTGGGCAAAGGGGTATTTTTTTTAAAAAAAAGCAACAGCAGATCTAATCATGTCATGTCTTTTATCAAACCTTTTCAAATTCATTTTATGGCTTTCTGCTCACTGTAATGTAAAGTCCTTAAAATGGTTTACAAGATTCTGACTGATCTGGCCTTTGCTTACTTTAGTCTTTATGTCTCGTTTCTCATACTTAATACCTTGACCTTACCAAATATTCTTCATTCTTTGAAAGTGAGCTTGATTTCTTCCGTATGTTCTGTTTCATCTCACTGGTATATTCTCTTTCCTTTTCACTTGTCTACTTCCTGTTTATCTCTTCTTCATGGAGGCTTTTTTCCCCAGACTGGATTAAGTCACCTCTGGTCTACATTCCATAGCACAGCATACTCACAGTTTTGTAACTCCTATACTTAAAATTATTAGTTTAATGCCTTTGTCCAGGTATTACATAATCTGCAGTCAGGTGGTGGGGCATTGTCTGACATTTTTTCCAGCATTTAGCACTGATTACACCCAATCCCCAGTCTACTGCATAAGTCTCTGCAGGACTGTGTGATAGAAACATCTCCTTAGTACCCCTCCTGTGAAAAAGGAGGAGGAAAACCCAGATAGAATCCTTTTAACCTCTCAAAATGCAATGCAGAGGGCACAGACCTCGATGAAAAGCCCAGAGGACCAACTTTATTATGTACTTCAACAGACTTAGTCTGTCTTTTCATACCTCTGAAGCTCTTCACGCTGGTAAAATCAACTCTCCATCCTTTTTTCCTTGAAATAATGCTGCCAGTTCTGTTTCTCACTTAAGGGTTATATGGAGAGATATTTTTTGAGTGAACAGTTGTGATGTTGACATTTCAAACAGCAGGGTATAACAAAACTCTCTACTATTTTTGTAATCTTTTTGTAAGTCAAAACCTATTTTACAACTTTTTTTTGTTTGTTTTTAAACTACAGACTATGTTCTTATATTGAGATGTGCCTGAAAAAAAAAAAACTGTTTAATTGATATAACATGTAGAAGAAAGGACAGTATATCTCTAGTTTGTATCAAGTTAGCATTTTCTAACTACTATCCAGGCTCCTAGACATATGGTAGAAGTTCATTTATCTGTCTTAACATATTAGCCATGCTATGAGGCCACTTGCCTTGTGCCACTTTTTTATTTTTTTGAGATAGGATCTTGCTCTGTCACCCAGGCTAGCATACAGTAGCAGTATCATAGCTCACTGCAGCCTCCAACTCCTGGGCTCAAGCGATTCTCCTGCCTCAGCCTCCCAAGTAGCTTGGACTATAGTCATGTGCCATAGCGCCTGGCTAATTTTTTAATTTTTTTGTAGAGCTTAAGTCTTGCTGTTACTCAGGCTGGTTTTGAACTCCTAGGGTCAAGCAATTCTGCCGTGGCCTTTTAAAGTGTTAGGATTATAGGCATGAGCCACCATGCCTGGCCCCATGCAACTTTTGCTTATATGAACTGACTTTTTATGTAGATTAGTGTAGGATGAACAGAGAGTACTAATTAACTTGGGTTTTCCTATTTATTTAAGTTTTGTCTTTATCATTATAAGGCAATAAACAACATTCTGATTTATTCATCAAGTGCTTGAATGTTTGTCAGTATGTATGTCACTTCTTAGATACCTGACAAATAGGGTTTCTGAATCTGGAAGTCTGCAACCAATGCTGATTTTTGCTGATGCAGCCACATTGATACCCTGAAGAGGTATTGTGAGTTATTAGATAGTAATAGGCAACAGCTAGGCAACAGCTGCTCTTTCTAGTTTATTTGTTGGAACAATGATATCTATTCCCCCACCTTTTTTTCCCTTCTATGAGCAGGACTCCCAGTTTTCCAAACCTGAAGTATTTTGCATTCAAAGCAAAGAGAAGGTTTGTGGATGTTGAATATGCAAAGACATGAAGAGGGAGAGATTGGAAGAGGGACTTGTCCAGGTGAGTGAGCAAGGAAAACCAGTGGGATAAACAGGCCTGGCAGTAGGAAGCCTTTGAAAATTTTAGAAGAGAAACTAAGTGAAGCTCAGAAGATCAAAGTACTGTCTCTTACAGGGGTGGGTGGCACAGGTGTGGGTGAATATCTCTGGGGCCTACTTATCCCCAGTACATATTTTATCTTTCTCTTTTCCAGCATTTGTTTGTTGTTTTCCATTTACCTCAGTTTTCTGTCATTCTTTGACTCCCTGACTGTCTATAGCTGCCCTTTTCATGGGGGTTCCTCATTAACAGTGGTCAAGTTACTGTGATGCACATCTCTTCTACCACTTGCAACTACGAGTTGCTTGCCATGCTTGTTTTTATTGGCCCTAACTCATAGGCTATTACTGATTGCTGTTAATGTTAGGGTTCTACATTGTCAGGGGCTTCAACTCTGCCCTACATAAGAGATATTTACTCTGCTGTTTTCTTTCAGGATGGACAAACAAGCTGGCTGTAGAGCAGGATGTCTATGATATTGACTCACCAGGGACAGTAGCAAAGAGATTCCAAGAAGGTGAATACCAAGATTGTACTCTTGAAAAAAAATATGCATGTGAGGGCATGAAGAAAAACTCTCCTGGACAAGTTCTTCGGCCCTGCCTTTTCCAGGAAGGACGTTTTGGGGGAATAAGTTTCATCCACAAGGATGCACACCCTGAAATGGTTAGTCAAGAATATAGTTTTGAGAAAAGCTTGCTTTTGACCTCAAGGCTTGTAACACATCTCAGAGTTTCTACAGAAGAGAGCCTACATCAGTGGGAAACAAGTAATGCACACACTAATGAGATTTCAGACCAGAGTAAATGTTCAACTCTCTCAACACAGAAAAATTCTTGGGAATGTAATAAATGTGGAAAAATCTTTACTCAGAGCTCATCCCTTACACAACATCAGAGAACTCATACTGGAGAGAGGCCCTATGCATGTGAAGAATGTGGGAAAGCTTTTAGTCGAAATTCATTCCTTGTTCAACATCAAAGAATTCACACTGGAGTGAAACCATATGGATGTGAGCAGTGTGGGAAAACATTTCGATGTCGATCATTTCTTACTCAGCATCAGAGAATCCACACTGGAGAGAAACCTTATAGATGTAACGAATGTGGCAGTTCCTTCCGCAATCACTCACATCTCACTGAACATCTGAGAATTCACACTGGAGAAAAACCTTATAAATGTAATAGATGTGAGAAGGCATTCAATCAGAACACACACCTTATTCATCATCAGAGAATTCACACTGGTGAGAAGCCTTATCTATGCAATGAATGTGGCTCTTCTTTTCGCAAACATTCAAATCTTACACAACATCAGAGAATTCACACTGGGGAAAAACCTCATAAATGTGATGAATGTGGGAAAACTTTCCAAACAAAGGCAAACCTCTCTCAGCATCAGAGAATTCATACTGGAGAGAAACCCTATAAATGTAAGGAATGTGGCAAAGCATTTTGTCAGAGCCCATCTCTTATAAAACACCAGCGAATTCATACTGGAGAAAAACCCTATAAGTGCAAGGAATGCGGCAAAGCTTTTACTCAGAGCACTCCACTCACTAAACATCAAAGAATTCATACAGGGGAGAGACCCTACAAATGCAGTGAATGTGGTAAAGCCTTCATTCAGAGCATTTGCCTTATTCGGCATCAGAGAAGTCACACTGGAGAAAAACCCTATAAATGTAATGAATGTGGAAAGGGCTTTAATCAGAATACCTGCCTCACTCAGCATATGAGAATTCATACTGGCGAGAAGCCTTATAAATGTAAAGATTGTGGGAAAGCCTTTGCTCATAGTTCATCTCTTATTGAACACCATAGAACTCACACTGGTGAGAAACTTTATAAATGTAGTGAATGTGAAAAAACCTTTCGGAAGTATGCACACCTTAGTGAACATTACAGAATTCACACTGGTGAGAAGCCTTATGAATGCATAGAATGTGGAAAGTTCTTCAGGCATAGTTCAGTCCTTTTCAGACATCAGAAACTTCACAGTGGTGAATAATGCTGGCATTTAGGTTATGACAGTTTCTCTAGAGAGTGACTAGAAATTTGGCTAGAAGGAGAAGAGCAGGTAGAGTTCCTGGAGGGAAGGATGAAGGAGCCTTGGCTACTGCATTCTTAGAAGAGTGTTTCCAGAAATGGAGGAGGTGGGAGCTTGGAGAACGCAGAACCTACTAGTGCAAGTGGGCATCTGGGAATATTGGGTAGAATGGAAGTCCTGTTTTTCAGATAAAGCCTGCAGGTTGCCACTGCTTTGTCCCCATGTGACTCCTACACCTTGATGAGGCATTTGTTAAATTAGCACTGTGTTTCCTTTACTACACCCCCTCCCCCACCTTCTGACTTCATTGCACGTGTTTACTGGCTTATCGGTTAATGTGGTATTCCAAACACTGCCTGTCAGTGTGGAAGTGGCATAGTTCTGATATAGTGATAAGTTTAAGTAGCCTCCAGATGTTTGAGGCATCTCTGACCATGCTACTGTGGGGAGGCTCTCTGACCTGTGCGAGTCGTCCTGTGAAGGGAAGACAGAAATAAGTCAAAAACAATCCAGATTCATTCATTCAAAAATTAGGAAATTATCTGGCAAGAACTGGGCTGATCCCTACAATGTGCTGTTGAAGAAGGCTTTTATCAGGGCAAAGGCTTTACCTGACCCTTTCAAGCTTTTGGGAAACTTGGGCTAAGAAGTAAATAGGAGGTCAGTAGAGACTTCGTGATGCCAGTTTGTGGGAAAGCAGCCAGATGTGCTGAGAGAGCCAGAGACAGGAAGACCCAATCTCTGTCCTAGAGGAATATTGGTTTACTCAGGAGAGAAATGGTCTGTTCTAGATTACTGGTGATATGAGTCCACAGAGAAGGGAGCCTGCACTGTGACTGAGCAAGTCACCTACATAACCCTGCCTGCACTAGGCTGTACACTGTCTCTTATAAGTTTGGCTGGGCCACTGGTTCACAGGGACCAGGGGAGAGGGACCTACTACAACTGATAGTGTCCAAACAAAATGAGACTTCGTTGGGAGAATGCATTAGCGATGAAGAGAGACAGCTTTTTAGGTTGGCTGGAGTTTAGGGCTACTGGACTAGTCCTTAAGAGAGTGTTAACATTTGTAATGGAATGACTTTGGAAAGAGTTCGAAAGGGAATAACCTCTTTCAAATACCCTGAAAAATCAAAATTACACAGTTTTTTACTGTGATGGTATTTTATTCTTTTGAGAGAAATGACAGTTTTCTCTTTTCTCCCCAGTCTCTCTTTCTCTCCACCCTCCCCCCCCCTTTTCTTTTCTTTTCAAGACGGAGTCTTGCTCTGTTGCCTGGGCTAGGGTACTGTGATGTCAGCCAAGCTCACAGCAACTTCAAACTCCTGGGCTCCAGCAATCCTGCCACAGCCTCCCGAGTAGCTGGGACTACGGGTGCATGCAACTATGCCCAGCTAATTTCCCTTTCATATTCTTAACTGTTGCCCAGTAACTGAGCTCCTGAAGATTGAGGATAGGTTTTGACTGGTACTTGACATAGTTTCTAAGCTCTGAAGCTTAGTTTTAAAAATATGACTATTAAAAACAACTAAAGTAAGTTGATTCTGGAATGCTTGATTATTTGGAACTCATCATTGATTTTTCCAGAGCAACCATCTTGTAAACATTGGTTTGGGCCATGAATTGCCATTAATGGGAATGTATTGGAAATATCACATATGCTCTTCTCTCTCTAGCAATGAAGATTATTTTTTTAAAACCTATCATGGAGGATTTCATAATTGAGAATCTTATAATTTCATGGGTAAAAATAACCCTATGAAAGCTTTCTAAATATTTTATGCTCATGGAAAAATACATATTTTACCAAGAGCTAAAGTTAATGTATTTATACTTCCTAAATATAAAATAGCACTTTGGAATTAATTATCGGTACATAGTAAATGTTCAATAAATATGTATTGAGTAAATTAATATATTTTAATCAACTTTTGCCCACTAGAACTACAAATTTCCTGGTGTGTAGGTATTTATAGTAATATTATACATTGCTATCTTTCGAATCTTGAGTGGACAGTAGAGAATAGGGAGAGTTTTCTTGGAAAAAAAAGAGAAATCCATAAGGGTGAAAGATATCTCTAAATTCTTTTGAGGAAGGTTTTCTTTCTTTCTTTCTTTCTTTCTTTTTTTTTTGAGACAGAGTCTCGATTTGTTGTCCAGGCTAGAGTGAGCGCCGTGGCATCAGCCTAGCTCACAGCAACCTCAAACTCCTGTGCTCAAGCGATCCTACTGCCTCAGCCTCCTGAGTAGCTGGGACTACAGGCATGTGCCACCATGCCCGGCTAATTTTTTGTATATATATCAGTTTGCCAATTAATTTCTTTCTATTTATAGTATAGATGGGGTCTTGCTCAGGCTGGTTTTGAACTCCTGACCTTGAGCAATCTCCCGCCTCTGCCTCCCAGAGAGCTAGGATTATAGGCGTGAGCCACCGCACCCGGCCAGGTTTTCTTTCTTTAAAGACAAGTCTCACTGTGTTTCCCAGGCTGGAATGCAGAGGTGTGATAATAGATCATAACTCAATATATGTAAACCTTGAACTCCTGGGCTCAAGTGATCTTCCCCAGCCAATTTTTAAATTTTTTTGTAGAGATGGGGTCTTGCGATGTAGTGCAGGCTGGTCTTGAACTGCTGGCCTTAAACAATCCTTCTGTCTTTGCCTCTCAAGGCACTGGGATTACAGGCGTGAGCCATTGTGCCCAGCTAAGAAAAGTTTTCTAAAATGGAATGGCTGTGACCCTGGATTGTTAATCCTCAAGCTAGCACTCTGGTACATTTTCACTTTCTGGATACACTTTCTGTTCATACAAAAATGAACAGAACTTAATACCTTTCCACTACCGTCACCCCATATTCTCACATTTACATACACCTGCTTCTGGCTTGCAGTTGCTGGCCCATGATGCGTCTGAGCACTCCAGTATGACATCAAACCTAGCAATTGCCCTCTCCCTCAATTTTCCCTCTTATTCAATCTTAATATCCATACAACCACTATACTCTGTTGAAATTATCTTCGAAATCTGGAAGCCATCTCCACCGCTATTGTTATAGTCCAGTCTCCAGTTTATTTCCTAGACTGTTTTAAATTTTTCAGGCTGCCAGTATGTTGCCCCTCTAGACCATCTTTCACACTTCTGGATGATCTTTGTAAGCCTAATTGGCAGCTTTATTCTCTTTTGGAATAAAGTCCTAGCCCTTTAAAGTGGCATCTGAGGCCCCTCATCTGGCCCATGCCTACCTACATTGCCTTCCTCAGCCACCATTCCTTACCTGGCACATTCTGTTCTATAAAGTAGATTCTCCTGATTATACAGTATCACCATTGGACCATTTGGCACCTTTGCACATTCTGTATTATTGTCACAATTCTCTTCCCTGCTTCTGCTTGCGTGGAAAACTCCCATTGTCATTTATGAATATGTTCAGGCAACGTCTTAAAGCTGTCTCTAACCTTGAGGGTTTTTGTTTGTTTGTTTGTTTGTTTGTTTTTCCCTTTGAGACAAGAGTCTTGCGCTGTTGCCCGGGCTAGAGTGCAACACCGCAGTGGCCACATCATAGCTCATTGCAACTTCAAACTCCTGGGCTCAAGCAATCCTCCTGCCCCAACCTTCCAAATGGCTAATACAAGTGCACACCACCATGCCTGGCTACTTTTTCTTTATCTGTCTGTCTGTTTTTTTGTTTTGTTTTGTTTTGTTTTTGAGACAAAGTCTCACACTGTTGCCCAGGCCAGAGTGCTGTGGCATCAGCCTACCTCACAGCAACCTCAAACTTGGCTCAAGCAATCCTTCTGCCTCAGCCTCCCAAGTAGCTGGGACTACAGGTATGCACCACCATGCCCAGCTAATTTTTGCTACATATATTTTTAGTTGTCCAGCTGATTTCTTTCTATTTTTTTAGTAGATATGGGGTCTTCCTCTTGCTCAAGCTGGTCTTGAACTCCTGAACTAAATTGATCTGCCCACCTTGGCCTCCCAGAGTGCTAGGATTACATGTGTGAGCTACCTCACCCAGCCAGCCACTGTGCCTGGCCTAATTTTTCTATTATCTTGTAGAGACAGGGTCTGGCTATGTTCCTCGGGTTGGTCTTGAACTCCTGGCCTCAAGTAATCCTCCTGCCAAAGCCCCCCAAAGTGTTAGGATTACAGGCATGAGCCACTGCACCCAGCCCAAACTCATGTATTTTTTATTATCTTTATATTTTGTATTTTTCATCATTTTATATGTTACATTATAATGGCTTATTTACAGATCTTTCTCTTCCCACTGAACTGTCAACTCCAGGAGAGCAGGAGGAATTTGACATTTTTAATTGTATTATTATTTTTTTTTTTAGATATGAGGTATCACCATGTTGCATAGGCTGGCCTTGAATTCCTGGGATCAAGTGATCTTCCCCACTTAGTTCCTGATTATCTGGGACTGCAGGCACACAGCACAGTGCCCAGGTTGGAGCAATGTGATATTTATTCATCTTTATGTCTCTAGTACCTGATACTTAGGAGGTGCTCAGTAAATATTTGTTGAACTCAAATATTGAGTCAAACATGCCAGACTGCAGGTTGTGACTTAGGTCCCCAGTTACCAGCAGAAAGGAGGCATGGTGAGTGTGTGTGTCTGTGTAGTGTTTGTCATGAGTAAGAATTCTGAACCTTTCCCCAAGATACCAAGTGTGTAGTTGTATTAAGAGGATCCCATAAGAAAAAGTAATATTTTGTGGCTAAAGAAGTTTTACAATTTAGGCACTTATGAGTCCCATCACTGTTTTTTGTTTTGTTTTGTTTTGTGAGACAGAGTCTCACTCTGTTGCCTGGGCTAGAGTGCCTTGACATCAGCCTAGCTCACAGCAACCTCAAACTCCTGGGCTCAAGCGATCCTCCTGCCTCAGCCTCCTGAGTAGCTGGGACTACAGGCATGCACCACTATGCCCAGCTAATTTTTTCTGTATATTTTTAGTTGGCCAATTAATTTCTTTCTATTTTTTAGTAGAGACAGGGTCTCGCTCTTTCTCAGGCTGGTTTTGAACTCCTGACCTCAAGCAATCCACCCCCACTCAGCCTCCCAGAGTGCTAGGATTACAGGCGTGAGCCACCAAGCCCAGCCTCTCATCACTGTTTAATAAAGTCCTTTCAATTATATTGTTGTCAGACTTGACAGGAAGAGGAATATGCATGTGCTGCAGAGGCACACCTATGTCAACTGGAATATCCATGAAATAATAATATAGGTAGGAACTGAAGAGTAATGCTGGCCTGACAGAAGAGCACTTGTAGCTTAGAAATCCCAAAGTGGAAGCACTTCCTGGGCTCAGCCTCCCTTAAGCTCTGGGATGATAAAGAACTGGAATTTCTTGCCTATGTTCAATGTCCTGAAATTTAACTCATAACTTCAGAAGGACATGGTGAGATGGAGCCACATCAGGTCCACAAGATAATAAAAGAGAAAACAGGTGATTGTAGTTGCCCAAGGCCACAGAAGCAGTAAGCATTAGGTGAAGTTTAAACCATGATGTCCTTGCATTTCATTCAGTTTTCTCTTTGTTGGTCTCACCTCTGTTCCGTACACCTCTTTGTCTCTTATAGAATTGACCACATTCATCTTGAGGAAAAGAGGAGGTCACTTCATAAGATGAAGAAGCTTTTTGCCCTCAGATTATCAAACTTTCTTGGGCGTGAGGATGAGAAATAAGTTGATTTTGCAGCTTGACCACACTTCCTACATAATGCAGAAACCTAACCCTAAGGTGGCTCCAGTCTCACTTCCCTTCCCCCACCAGCCACATCGGGGCTAAGGTCATTTTTGTTCTCTGGAATGTTTTTGGTGGCCCTACCACCCATTTTCCACATCACTGAAAGAAGCTTAGCCTAAATTGCTGTCAAGCTGCAAGTTACTGTTTCTAGTAATCTGCTCTGTCTAGGGCATCCCACTCCAGGCTTAGTTTTCACACAGTAAAGCCTGCCAATTTAAAGAATCTTTGAAGCCTAAAGGGGGAGAAAATGATTAGGCATAGGCTTTCTGGCCTGTGGGACATCCTAGGGATGGCGACAGAAGTTGTTACTTGATTCCAAAGAAGTTCTGAGAATGTGATAACTGGTAAGTAAGGGGAGCTCAACATTATTACCTGGCATTTCAGCTGACAGTTTTAGTAAGGGTCCCTTTTTAGGTGAAGATGGTTAGTAATGGCCTCAGTCTGTGGCACCTCTACTCCTGATTTCAGTCTCTTAAAGGGAATCCATTTGGGGAAAACAGCCAATCTGGAAGTTTGAACAAACAATTTTTTTGCTGAATGGCATTCATTTATTCAACACATATTTACTGAGTGCCTACTATGTGCTGCACATTATGGATGTGATGGCAAGCACACAGTCCCATTGTCCCGTGCTTGCAGATCAGGAGGAATGCCTGGAAATAGATCATTGCTCTGCTACCCATGATTTTATCCCTGGAATACACCTGTTAGGATGAGCCATGTGTGGAAATATTTTCTGAATGAGGACCAGCAATATCTCAAGTTTTGCAGAATGTGGGTGAGGGTGCTACTTTGACTGCTGGAAAGGTCACTGAAGCCAAGGCAGAACCATAGACTGGAGCTTAGATGAGGAATGGATAATACTCTTAACATTTACTGAACATTAAAAAAATGCCAGACATTATTAGTAATTTATATGTATTAACTTCATTTAATCAACAGTTTTATGAAATTTGGTACCATTATTATCTCTGTCTGATAAATGAGGAAGCAGGCACAGAGAGGTAAAGTAACTTGCCCAAATTCACACTCTGACAATCTGGGATTTAAGCCCAAAGCAGAGCTCTTGTTCTTTTGGCTACTTGTTGAACAAAGATCTTAAATCACTAAGGTGTCTGAGGTTCCTATGACGAGGTAAGTTTTCTTGCAGGCGAGAATGTGTGTGAGGAAGTTTGAAGCCAGCTTTGTGAAAGGCTTGAGAATCTCCAAAGAATAGAGACAAAGGAAGATAAATGAGGCAGGGTTGTAGGTTGTCAATTCATTGACACACCGTAAGAGCTCCTTGTGGTCGACCCTTCTCCTCCGTTCAGCTTCCTTATACGAGAAGATGCCTTTTGACGTGGGTTTGTGGGCTGTTTCTGGGGCCGGCACCCCTGGCAGAGCACAGAAACCCGCCACTCCGAGGCTGGAGGAAACCATCGAAATGACGCCGCTTCCGCCTTCCTAGAGAGGATAGATGGCTGCGCTTGTTGGCTGAGGCGCAGACTGGTGACGTCACGTCGACGGGAACGTCTGGGATTTGCTCCCGGCTGACTGAGAGCGCCCCCGGACTCTAGGGAGGCAAGGCGTGTGGGTATCGCTGCTGCGGGAGCGCCTGGTGAGCGGTTCCTGCCATGCCCGGCTGCGGCGAGGTCTAGTCCAGCGCCTCCCTGGGACCCGGGGCCAGGCCACCCGCAGCGCTGCTTACCTCCCGAGAGCCTTTGCGGCGGAGGCCTGGGTCTGAAGCCGGCTTGCCATTGAGAGAGGAGGGCAGAGCCTGCTCGAGAGCCCAGGGCTGGGAGTGAGGGGACCAGGATTTCGTTTGTATGTACTTGAGCGACTCAGCGACCTTCTGAGCGCGTCAGTTTTCTGATTACCTGAAGTGAATACTAGTCATTGCATGGCTGCTTCACAGAGTTCTGTGGGTTGAATAAGTATATGGGAGAGTTACCTCCTTCATTTTATTAAGTACTTTTTCTTCTCTTTCAGCAACAAAATAAGTACGGTATGAAGACACAGACTCAATAATTTAACAGCAGGTACTATTTATTGAATGCTTACTAGCTGGCAACTCTTCTAAATACATTCCATATATTAACTCATTTACTCATCGCCACAACCCTATGGAGTAGTTACTGTTATTGTCATTTCCATTTAACGGTTGAAAAGCTGGAACACAGAAAGGTTAAGTAACTCACCCAAGATCACTTAGTTAATAAATGGTGGTACAGGTATTCACACCCAAAAAAATCACAGCCTCAGAGCACATGCTATACTTGTTTGTTTTCAAGTTTAGTGGGGGAAGACAGTGTAATCAGAGTAGAAAGTGCTATAGTACAAGCATGTGTAAAATTCTTTAAGAATGTAGAAGCAAAAAATGCCTTGGAAAAGTCAAGAAAATTTTTCCACAAGTAAGAGGTGTGGTGGTTCACATTTGAATTGAATATTAAAGTTTGACCAGAATTTCAAAAATGATTAAACAATTTGTTCAGTGTTAGATAAGAGGTGCTAGTGGATTAAAATGAATTAGACTGGAAACCAGGCCTCTGCCTTTTAATAAAGTGTTCTTTTCATTAGGAGGGATTCTTAAAACCCTTCTCTTAGGAGGAGTCCATAACATCTTACAATAGATCCCTGTCTGTGGAGATTCTGCATCACACAGAGGCAATCATTATTTTCCAAAAATTCCTTCATTTCTAATTGTGAGAGGCTGACAGGAAGTTTCCTGGTATTGACTCAGACTGTTCTTAACAAAAGCTTCTTCTCTCACTGCTTACTCAGTTACTAAAAATGAATAAGCAGCCTCAATCAAAGATTGAGGAAGGGCTTAACTTGAGGTTTTTGTTCTTATCACATCTGTTTTTTTTGGAATCAGAGTCCTTCTAGCTGGTACTAGAAGAAGCTTTAGATACCATCCAGCTTTTCACTTTCATTTCACAGACAAGAAAATAATCATGGTTCAGAGTGTGTGATTTGTTTCAAGTCACTGAATAAGTTTATTTATTTATTTATTTATTTATTTATTTATTTATTTATTTATTTATTTTGCAACAGAGTCTCACTTTGTTGCTCAGGCTAGAGTGAGTGCTGTGGTGTCAGCCTAGCTCCCTGCCTCAGCCTCCTAAGTAGCTGGGACTTCAGGTATGCACCACCATGCCCAGCTAATTTTTTCTATATATATTAGTTGGCCAATTAATTTCTTTCTACTTATAGTAGAGACGGGGTCTCGCTCTTGCTCAGGCTGGTTTCGAACTCCTGACCTCGAGCAATCCCCCTGCCTCGGCCTCCCAGAGTGCTACAATTTCAGGCGTGAGTCACCGCGCCTGGCCAATAAGTTTATTAACTGGCAGAGCCAATAATAGAATCCAGACTGCTTAACATAGTCTGTTCGTTGTTTTCATGCTCTCTGCTTTAGCCCCACTGTCTTTGACTTTTGAAGGCAATGGCTTTTCCATTGGGCTTGGGGGTCTTTGGGCTCCAACCTTCTCTCCTCTCAAGGAATTTTTACACCTCAATGCTTAGTTCTTAGGAGCACCTGCCCTTATTCTTTGAACTTCACCAAGTCTCTTTAAAGTCTACTCACTCACTGACTTTTGTCATAGGTGATACTCTTCTAGAATAATAATGATATTGTTTCATTTAGACTTCAAATAGTTATTTGGTTAGTGATCGCTTGGTCCTGGGTTTCCTTGAATCCAGAGTGTGAAGGAAGTAGGCTGACAATTTATAGGTGGCTCTTTTCCCTCCCTCAGTGCCTCAGATTCTTGCATTTCCTCAAGAGCAGAGTCCCCAGAAGACAAATCAGTATCGTTTGTGTTCCTAACAGCTTGTCTCTAGGTAAGTGAAATCTAACTAGAGAACCCAGGATTGATTACTATGGGGGTACTCATTCAGAAGTGGTGACAGACCTGTAGTGGGACCTACCAGTGACCACTATACCTGGATCCAGCAGACTGAAAACACAGAGCCACCCAGAAATGGATACCATTTTACTCAAGTCAGTAAGAGTATCCCATTATGAAAGACAACTATGGAATAATTGGTTATAGGACACATGAGAGAGTGCACCAATTTCTTATCAAATATACCTGATCTGTAGCAAGACTAGGTATCCCCTCTGCAGTCATCTAGTGGCACATCTTGAAACCACTTATTAAACTGCTAAATATGATGTCTTAATGGTATAGTGATCAGATCTAGGAAAACTGATAGTAAATTATTGGAAGACTCATTGGAAAGGTGATGTTTCCTCAGTGAATATAGACTGGGCCTCTAGCCCTGTTCAAGAGCTTGAGTAATTACAACTGCCATTGTTACTGGCTGTCAGAAGGCAAAATAGAGCCAGGCTATCTGTCAAACTCAGTAAAAAGAATACTGGATAAACTCTATTCTTAGGTTATGGGAACTCTGTGAATAGATCATGACTATTTATGTTCTGAAGAATTTGGTCTAGTCTAATATATGTGTAATATATGTACACTTATGTGTCTATGTGTTTATATGTGTATATGCATTGACAGATACCTATAAGAAAGTTCATCAAAATACCAACTTTTTTCTGTGGGTGAAAGGATGTCAGGTGATTTCCATTTTGTACTGAGTGTTTTATAGAATGAGCATGCATTCTTTGTATGATAAAACCTTTTTATTTAGGGAGAATAAGAGTAAAGGAAATAAAAATGTGATTAGAGTTTTAGTTTTACATTTAGCTGCTTAAACCACTTGGAGTTTATTTTTGTGTATAGTACATCCATACTGGAAGTTAGTGCAGCAGATAGAGAAATAGGTACAGGCAAGATAGCTAATATATTTAACAACCAGTGTGGTACAGGCATTGCCCAATCATATCAATCTCCAGCCACAAACAATTTGTGCAGATGTACAAGTGTTTACCAGCTGACTCTCAGCCCCATTAGATCCATATATATCAACATGAAATGATCTCTAAGATACATTCTTTAGTGAAAAAAAGCTAACTGCAGGGCAGAACGTATAGAACAATTGTATTTATATAAATAGAATCAAATGCTATATGTGTGTAGAAAATTATGTAGAAAATAGGACTGAAGGCTGGGCGTGGTGGATCACGCCTGTAATCCTAGCACTCTGGGAGGCCGAGGTGGGCGGATTGTTTGAGCTCAGGAGTTTGAGATCAGCCTGAGCAAGAGCGAGACCCCATCTCTACTAAAAAAATAGAAAGAAATTAGCTGGGCAACTAAAAGTATATTTTAAAAAATTAACCAGGCATGGTGGCACATACCTGTAGTCCCAGCTACTCGGGAGGCTGAGGCAGAGGGATTGCTTGAGCCCAGGAGTTTGAGGTTGCTGTGAGCTAGGGTGACACCACGGCACTCTAGCCAGGGCAACAGAGTGACACTCTGTCTCAGAAAAGAGAAGAGAAGAGGAGGGGAAGGGGAGGGGAGGGGGAAGACTGAAACCTCTTGAATTATCACTAGTCTGCCAAGAGATTGCTTACAGGCAACTTAAGGAAAGATCATTACTATTCACCTATTTTTTGAGGAGTAGAGACTGTAAGTGAACAGTAAATCTCCCCAATACTTAATTTACCCAACTCTAGGATACTTAATTCTTTCGCTTTTTCCTGTTTTTTTTTTTTTTTGAGACAGAGTCTTACTCTGTCACCCCAGGGAAGAGTACAGTGGCATCCTCATAGTTCACTGCAACCTCAAACTTCTGGGCTCAAGCAATCCTCCTGCCTCAGCCTCTTGAGTAGCTAGGACTACAGGCACATGCCACTACACCTGGCTATTTTTTCTATTTTTAGTAGAGACAGGGTCTCGCTCTTGCTCAGGCTGGTCTTGAACTCCTGAGCTCAAGTGATCTTCCTGCCTCGACTTCCCAGAATACTAAGATTCTAGGCATGAGCCAACACATCTGGCCTCACATTTTCCTGTTATTTATGGATCATCTATGGATGAGCCTAAATTACCTGGATTAGGTTTTAGTATTTGATTATTTCAGAATCAGTCATGATAAGGAATTTTATAGAATTCCTAAAACCTGTCACTATTTAATCTCTTCAGAGAGCCTGGTCATCAGGAATTTGCTTTTGGAAACGGTGAAAATACAAGTTACACAAGGAAAAGGAGTAGAAATCCTGCAGAACGATTGAGGACAGAACATCCACACACGTGCAGTCACACACATTAACCTTTCCCAGGAGAGCACTGTTACTTTAATGATAATCATCTTTGAGAAAATACCTCATAAGTATGAATTTGAGAAAAGGTTTCATCTCAACTTGAACCTATTGGACAGAAGCCCCTTCAGTGTGCTATAAGCAGCATGAGCCAGATTTCACTCCACATGAAACATCAGAGAGTTTACATACAGAAGAAACCTTCAAAGTGTAGTGAATGTGGAAAATTCTTTACTCAGAGATCATCTCTTACCCAGCATCAGAGGATTCACAGAGGAGAGAAACCCTATGTGTGCAGTGAATGTGGAAGTTGTTTCCGTAAACAGTCAAATCTTACTCAACATCTGAGAATTCATACAGGGGAGAAACCTTTTAAATGTCATGAATGTGAGAAAGCCTTTCAAACAAAAGCAGTCCTTGTCCAGCATCTGAGAATTCATACGGGAGAGAAACCCTATAAATGCAATGAATGTGGAAAAGCCTTTTGTCAGAACCCATCCCTTATTAAACACCAGCGAATTCATACTGGAGAGAAACCTTATAAATGTGCGGAATGTGGCAAAGCCTTCAGTCAGAGCATATGCCTCACTCGTCATCAGAGAAGTCATTCTGGAGATAAACCTTATAAGTGTAATGAATGTGGGAAAGCCTTTAATCAGAGTGCTTGCCTCATACAGCATTGGAGAATTCATTCAGGAGAGAAGCCCTACACCTGTGTGGAATGTGGTAAAGCCTTCACTCAGAACTCTTCCCTTGTTGAACATGAAAGAACTCACACTGGAGAGAAACGTTATAAGTGTAGTGAGTGTGAAAAAACTTTCCGCAAGCAAGCACACCTTAGTGAGCATTACAGAATTCATACTGGAGAAAAACCTTATGAATGTGTTGAATGTGGAAAATCCTTTAGGCACAGTTCAGCACTTGTTCGACATCAGAAACTTCATGCTGGAAAGTAAAATTTTGAATATAACAAGTATGGAAAAGTTTGTATGAAAATGCTCTTTTCCCTCCCTAAATTTTCAGGAATTTAAGACTCAATCTGCAGCTGGGATGAACATTTTGTATTTTGAATAGGCATTGTATCTTAAAAGTTATGAAAATAGACTTCAGAACTAGTTAGTCTTAAGTTTAATGCCTTCTTTGACACTTAATCCTTTGCACTCGGATGTCGAGTGTGACTCGACATGGTTAGCAAAAATTTTAGAGATTACTCTATAATTATATATATAATTATATATTATATATAATTATTTATATAAATTATATATATAATTACTCTTTGAATGTATCAATAATTTGAAATATAAAAAATCCAAATAAGTTTGTATGAAAAGAAACTCCAGTTTTTTATTCTACTGCCGTGCTTTGTAAAATTTGGGGCATTTAAAAATTAAATCCCGAGTAGAATAAAGGAATCGAGAAAAAAGCAAACGAGTGCAAAGGGTTAATAGGTGTTACCTTATTATTTCTGAGCCTCGGTTTCCCCATCCTTCCCCAAAAGAATAATAGGGATATTCTTAGATTTGTCTTGAGAATAAAATGAATTGTATATGACAGTTAACTTCCATTAGTTAGCTGTTTTAAAAGTTTATAAAAATATCTAAATCTGGCATTAAAAACAAGCAAACCAGCATTTGGTTTTTTTGGTTCTCACAGTGCATTTTTTCTTAAGAACATTCTTGTAATCAGGCTATGATTTTATGCTTAATTTACAGAAGCCTATTTAAAGTATAATGTCTAGGTTTAAGAAGAGAATACAATTTAAGACTGATTTATCCTTGAGAAACTTCAGATTTAATCAGAGAAAAATGAAATGATTGGGATATTAGTGGACATTGTAAAGTGTACTTCTGGATACCCTCAAGATCTTTATTTAGATTTTGATACGTCCCATTATTGGATCTAATTTGACTTTAAGCTCTAGGTTCTGTTTTTCCATGAAAAGGGAAGCCTCAGTAACAGTGAATAAAACCTCGTATTGTGGTACTTGTGTATGTTTTGGGGGAAGCAGCAGGAGGTGGTGGTTAGGAGAAAGCATGTAAATGGTAGAGGGCATGGAATATAGAGAATATAGCAACAGCACTAAAGATGGTCTCAGGGAAGAGGGATGTAGGAGATGTAGAGTCCTCAGGTGCCAGCATGTGATGCCACTGACCAACAGCTAGTAACCTGTCAGAAGGTGAGAACAGTGTGCTGGGGATGTGTATGGGTCAGGGGTACCTCACCTATTACAAAGAATGACTTGTTAAAGCTATGAAGAAACAAAGGATACTTTTGATGGTGCTTTATGCAATGCCTAGCCCTTTAATGTAAAGCACATCTAATGCTAAAAGTACCCTTGCAAGAAAGGTAGGAGTCATTCACATTCCAGAGTCAAAGAAAAAGAGAACATACTTGATTTGCTCAAAGTCAAACAGGTAATGTCAGAGTTGAACTTCAAATCTAGGTATTTTTATTCCAAGTGTAGTCCTGGATTTTGTAGTACCAAACTCACATACAGGTAATCATTGAACCTTTCCATTAAAGTGGATGCCAAATTTGCAAAAGCCATTTTTTAAAAAATAATTTTTTTTCAACTTAATTTGTGCTCATTGAAATGCATTTATAAAATTAGAGGAATTGAAAAATTAAAATTATGTGCTTTCACCATTCAAATATAGTCATGTTAGTATATTTATTCTAGCCTTTCTTCTCTGCATAGCTTTTCTTTCTTCCCTTTTAAAAATAATTATGATTGTACTACATACAGTACCATATCCTGCTTTTTGGTTTAACATAATGTTTTAGCAATATAGATTTTTATATATTTCATTTTAATGATTGCCTAACATTACATTGGCCTGTTCATAACTTATTGACCTGTTCCCTAGTGTTTATTTACATTAATACTATTATTGCCCCATAAATCAGGTAATCCACTTAATGTAGTTACATAGTATGTGCTTCTGTTAGTGATTATTAACTCAGCAATGAAACGTCTTTGTATATAAAGGTTTTATTGTTTTAAATTATCCCCTAGGATTTTCAGAGAGTATGATCTGTTTATCTCATGTTTTAAATTTCATTTAATCTTTTTGACATGATAATGCAAACTTATGGTTTAAAATTCTAAAAGTACAAGAATTGGCTCACGACTGTAATCCCAGCACTTTGGGAGGCCAAGGTGGGAGGATTGCTTGAGCCCAGGAATTAGGGAACAGCCTGGGCAACATGGTGAGACCTGGTCTCTACAGAAAATTAAAAAATTAGCTGGAGATAGTGGCACACACCTCCCAAGTCCCAGTTACTTGGGAGACTGAGGCTGGAGGATCACTTGAGCCTAGGCATTGGAGGTTGCAGTGAGCTACGATCATGCCACTGCACTCCAGTATGGGTGACAGAGCGAGATATAAAATAATATAAAAATAAATTACAAGAAGTAAACAGTGAGAAGTCTTTCTCCTAGCCACCCAGTTGTCCCCTTAGTCCATCCCAGATAATGAATATTAGCAGTTTTTTGTTTTTCTTCTAGAGATAAGTATAAGCAAGCAAACATGTTTTTCTTCTTTAAAAAAGTAAAGACTTTTAAGAGCAGTTTTGAGTTCACAACAAAATTGAGTGGAAAGAACAGGCACAGCCTCCCCTATTATTAACATCCTACACCAGGGTGGTACAACATACATTGTAGGTACAACCTACATTGACACACTGTCACCCAAAATCACAGTTTACATTAGGGTTCACTTTTGGTTTTGTATGTTCTATGGATTTTGACAAATATATAATGACATGTTTCCATCATTTTAGTACCATGTTTCCCTGAAAATAAGACAGGGTCTTATATTTATTTTTCCTCAAGAAGACACCCTAGAACTTGTTTTCAGGGGATGTGTTATTTTCCCCTCAAAGCCTCAGCTTGCAGCACGCACAGGATGGCTGGGATCTGACAGGGGGAGCTGACCTTGTTGTTGGGGCTGCCCATACCTTTCCGGTCACCTCTGGGATAGTAGCTGTCATGATGGGGCAGATGGGAAGGGCTGCTCGTCTTCTTTACTGCTCTATGACGAAATGCATGGGTTGTGCAGATATGCTGGGTTGCCACGCCCATCACTAGGTCTTATTTTCGATGTAGGGCTTATATTGCACAAATGCTTAGAAATCCTGCTAGGGCTTATTTTATGGGTAGGTCTTATTTTTGGGGAAACACAGTAGGTATTTCCCCAAAAGAAAGAAAAACATGTCCACACAAAGACTTGTACATGAATGTTTGTAGCGGTTTTGTTTGTTATAGCTAAAAAATGGAAACAACCCAAATGTCCATCACTTGTTGTACAGCCTCTCACTGCATAGGAGTGGCTATGAAAGCAAGTTAGAGCTTAGGCTGGCGATTCAAGTCCATGAGATAGGAGGATATTCGGGAAGAGAAAGGCAGAAGGTGCTATGCCAGAAAGGGAGCATGTTGGCTTTTACAAGAGGCACAGAGGTGACTAGATACATACAGTGAGGAGGAAGTGTCAAGTTTACCACCCTGCAGCTGGGATTCCCCAAATCCTGTACCTGTCCCAAAGCCCAGGCCATAGCTCCCCCTTTTGCCCTGTCCATTGCAGTTTCCACTCTGCCAAGTCCAGCTTCCATTGTCCAGGGGGTAACAAAGAATCTCCTCTGGGAGGCAGACAATCCTGCTGCAGTTGTGCCAGAGAATGACTCAGGGAGAAGCAAGGGCAAAGGGAAAGCTGATGCCGTGCCACCATCTGCACAGGGCGTGCCGGGAAAGTGGACTGGTGCAGCCAGACTGGTGCAGAAATAGAGGAGAAGCTTAGGAAGGATTCAGAGTGTCAGGGCAATACGGCCGATGGTTTGGGTTCTAGAACACCACGCTGCAGGTTAAGAAGGATCGAGGCACTGGAGAGAATGGAGGATGTGATGGAGTGAGTAGCAAGAGAAGTTATGGACAGGCATGGGAGGATCTGGGGAAACAACTACAGGAATATAAAGCTCAGGGTCCCATCCTGCAGCTGAAGAACCTGTCTGCTCTCCCAAACAGCTCCGAGGACCAGGCTTGTCCTAGCCCATGCTGCTCTCTAAGGAAACATTCAAATTAATGATGATACTAAGCAGTCCCTTCTACCCCAGTTTCTGGGACCACATATGTCTAAATCATGTTAAATATAGAGCTGCCATTAGCCTAGAATGATTGTGGGGCCAATGGGGAGGATTCCTAGCCTAGGGCCTGGACAGATCCCTTTAGTCTGTCCTTTCTCCTACCTGAAGACTCCATGCATGACCTGGGAGAAGCCATAGGTTTGCTGTCAGTCAAAAGGTTATTTCCATAGTGATGTGAGGCTCAGAAAGCAAGAAACTCTGAGGTGAGATAGAGGGCTGAGGACTGGGGAAACAGCAACAGAAATGAGAGCCTGAAAACTCAGATGACATGTGTCTTGCTTCCCAATATGACTGTTATCTGGCCCTGGTTATCTTGAGCCATGCAAGATTGATTGTACGTTGCACTGTTTTGTGTCAAACATAAGAACGCCGCTGACCTTTACAAAGTGAGAGAGAATTGCTCATGAACTGCAGGACTCCTAAGGGCTTTTTAAATCTCTGTCTATCCCAGTAGTACCTAGAACTGCACAGTAGCCACTACCCACCTGTGGCTATTTAAATTAATTAAATAGAAGGGAAAATTCAGTTCCTTAGTTGCTCTAGTCTAGCCACATTTCAAGTGCTCAGTAGCCATAGTGGCTAGAGACAAGAAAGCTGTTTAACATTTCCATTATTGCAGAACGTTGTGCTATACAGCACTGGCCTTGAAGTTTGGATTTCCCAGATGGTAAGTTTCAGAATATTATAAACTGATAAAGGGGCTGATAAAGATTTTTTTTTTTTTACTTTTTGACAAGTAAGCACATTAAACTCCCATCTGTTATAACCATTATTTCATGACAGAAAGTATATTTTAACTCCAAGGAAATAAAAAAGATTTTATCTCAGAATAAAGGATTTCTTCAGAAGAAAGGATAAGTTGGAATCTTTGCGCTGACATTTTTGTGCTCAGACAAGCCCTGGAGTCTGTACGGCATTCATCTGCCATTGCTATCCCCTAGGATTCCGGCCTCTTTACTACTGGACATCGGTTGCCCTTGTGCCCTATTTTTGAAAAGAGCATCAGGAAAGTTCTAGCAGGATCTTGGCCTTTTGGAAGTGACATGCCCGTCTCAGTGCA